CGTTGCTATGCGCGGGCTTTCTCTAGTTGCGGTGAGCAGGGGCTACTCTTCGTTGCGGTGCGCAGGCTTCTCATTGCTGTGGCTTCTCTTTTTGCGGAGCACGGGTTCTAGGCGCGCAGGCTTCAGTAGTTGTGGCACATGGGCTCAGTAGTTGTGGCTTGCGGGCTCTAGAGCTCAGGCTCAGTAAGTGTGGTGCACGGGCTTAGTTGCTCTGTGGCATGTGGGATCTTCCCCGGGCCAGGGCTCGAACCTGTGTCCCTTGCATTGGCAGGCAGATTCTTAACCACTGCGCCACCAGGGAAGCCCAGGCCGTCTTCTTTTGAGTCACCTGCTTGAATGAAGGAAAGGAGGGAGGCAGCAGTTCGCGAGCTGCTGATCTGGATCAGATGAGAGATGATGCTCACGCGTACAGGCAGTGGAAACGGGTGACCAGTCAGCAGACTGTACCCATGTTAAGAGTGTAGAAAATTCACGTGTTGGTAGCTGATAGGTGTCAGTGGAGAGGTGGAAGGATAACAGTATTCACTGGGATGGGGAACCCCAGGGAAGTGCAGATTGATGAGTTAAAGTTGGGCTGTGTTGCCTTTGGAGTGAGTGTGGATGATCTAGGGAGAGAGGTGGTTGGATTGGTGTATCTGGGGCTCTAGCAAAAGATCGGAGCTGCAGAGATTGGGAAGTAATCAATATCTGTCTTTATAAATCCATGTGCCCTTTCAAACACAAAATCTTACATCCTGCTTTAATGTTATTTAAAACTTCTAAGTGCATTAAGTATAATGATTAAAAACAATTCAAATGACTTACAGAATTGAGCCTGCTTCCCAGCTGACACTGATGGCCTCTGCAGGCAGGAAACCTCCTGTCTCTTGCACCTTTGGGGATCCAGGCAACTTCATTCTTCCCTCATCATGGCAGGGTGGGTGGGTACCAGGAGGAGGCTGCGCAGCTCAGACCCTGTATTCTAGCGCTTTCAGTGCTGCAGTTTTCAATGAAGTTATTCCCTCTGCTGGCAGTGTCTCAGACAGTGCTTGATCACCTCCAGAGTCAGGGAGCTCACTACCTCCTGAGGCAGGCCCTGTCTTCCAGATGGACATACCTACCCGTGAACATTAATTGGCCCCCTTGGCTTTCCCATGCTGTGAGTAGCTCTGCCCTCTGGACCGCTCGGAGAGAGCATGGAGCTGGATGTCTCTGTGCCAGCTCCTCAGGCATTTGCAGGAACGGCCAGGGTTGCTTTCAGTTCCCTCTCTTTGGGCTGGCCCCTTCCTGGCTTTCATAGCTGGAGGCTGGCCTCAGAAATCCCTCTTCGACCAGGTAGAGGAGAGATTGCTTCTTCCCACGTGGTAGCCTCTTGCAAAGCACTTCCAGTACTGCAGAGACGGGGCAGAACTGCTCCTGGTTGGGCTGTGGGAACACTTCCGGTTCCACTGGGGAACTTCTGGTTCCGCTGTGGGACACTTCTGGCTGCCCCCTTTCCTGCTTCTCCGCAGAGCCTGTGGAGGTCTGGGTGGGCAGGTTGAACACCCCCTCCCCTCTGCTGCCTTGGGGGGTTGCACTGGCCGAATCCCACTTATAGCCCTTCTAGGTGTGTGACCGTCGGCAAGGGTTTGGCCTTCTTGTGCCTCGGCTTCTTCGATGCCCTTGTAAAATTGGAATAACAACGATGGTGCCTGTGTCTCAGAGTTAGCATGGGGACTGGGTCGATGATGATGCGTGGTGTCGCCCCCCGGGACTTGGGCATAGAAACAGCTCATTGAATGTTAACTAGACTCGCTTCTGTTGCTCTCCAGGGTCTCTCAGATCTCTCTGGAACTTCAGAACTGATAGCTCTTTGACCCCTGATGGGAAATGTTGAGAAAGACTTAAAACAGCAAAAAGGGTGACCTTTACAAAGGCTATTGGCCATTGTTTATGAGACAGAAGGCTTTGTTGTGACAAGGAAACTGGAGCAGTAGAAATTCAGACTTCGGACGCTGATCTGGAATGAAACTCTGGGGGGAGTATGTGGACTTTTCTCTCATTCCAGAGGCTACATTTTTTGGTGGTGTGCAAAGTTCATTTATTTCATAGCCCCTGCCTCACAAGTAATGAGGTCTCCACCTCCGGGAAGCTTTCAGATATCCTGAAAAGAGGCAGTTTGGGGGGATTTTAGATGGGGTCCCTGCGTACTGTTAGTGTTGAAAGGGCTTCAAAGGGGGGAGATATGGGTGGGAATCTTGCCTGCTTCTCTGTAGGGGGGATCTGAAAATCACCCCAAACATGCCTGGCACGTGGCCCTGCTCCCCAAGGCGGTGGCCAACCCCGTGGCAGAGCCAGGATCTTCATCTTTGTAACCTTTGGGTCCCCGCCCCCAGCAAGGACTTTAGTGAACACCTGTTGAGTCACCCCCTAACCACTCATGTCCTGGTAACTTCAGCAGTGGGGGGAGAGGGGACCCCCAGGCTCTTCCTCTGACACCTCTCATGCACCTCATTTTGCAGACATCGACGAGTGTGAGAATGACTACTACAATGGGGGCTGTGTCCACGAGTGCATCAATATCCCGGGGAACTACAGGTGCACCTGCTTTGACGGCTTCATGCTGGCACACGATGGACACAACTGCCTGGGTGAGTGAAGCAGCCGTGCCCCGCCCGCTGGGCACACCCTGCCTGTTTCTCAGCTCCAGCTGGCAGTGCGGGGGGTCATGGGAAGGATTGCCCTCTTTTGGTTCCTTGTCTTAGTTTGCTAGGGCTGCCGTAACAAAAAAGCACAGCTTGAGGGGCTTAAACGACAAGAATTTATTTTCTCACAATCCTGGAGGCTAGCAGTCCGAGGTCGCGGTGTTGACGTGTCTCTTTTTATTCTGAGGCTTCTCTCCCTGGCTTGCAGCTGGCCCCCTTCTCGCTGGATGTTCACATGGTCTTCTCTCTGCGTGCAGGTACCTGATGCCTGTCTCTCTCTCTCTGTCCTAATCTCCTCTTCCTATAAGCACACCAGTCATATTGGAGTAGAAGCTATCCTAACAACTCATTTTCAACGTAATTACCTCTTTAAAGGTCCCATCTTAAATACAGTCACATTCTGAGGTACTGGGGCTTAGACCTTCAACATACAAATTTGGGGGAAGCCATAGTTCAGCCCATAACAAGGATCCTTCCACACCTCCAGATTCTCCTGGTTCAAATACATATACTTTTAAAACAGTTGTATAAAACTTATGAGTAATGCAAACTTTCTGGGTGAAATTGGGAAAACGTAGACGCACAAGGAGAAACTGGAAAGTATCTTGGTTACACTGGTGTGTTTGCCTTCAGGCGTCTCTCTGCAGCCAGGTGTGATTACACTGTAGTTGCGATCAGGTACCTGGCCCCTGTTATCACCCTTTTCCTAGTTGCCTCATAGTTTGATAAGTGACTAACAACCCGGGGCTGCTGTAACAAAGTAACAACTGAGTGGCTTAAGCCACAGAAATTTATCCTGTCACAGTTCTAGAGGCTAAAATCTGAAGTGGTGTCAACGACGTTGGTTCCTTCTGGGGGCTTTGAGGGAGGACCTGTTTCATGCCTCTCTCCTAGCTTCTGGCAGCCTCAGGCTTTCCTTTGCTTGTAGATCACATTCTCCCTCTGTTTTCACATTGTCTTTGCTCTCTGCATGCCTGTCTCTGTGGCCAAATGTCCCCTTTATCTAAGGACACGGTCATATTGGATTAGGGTGTACCCTACTGACCTCATCTTATAACTTGATCATCTGCCAGTAACCTATCTCCGGAAGGGGTTACTTTCACTGGCACTGGGAGTCAGGACTTCGCCATCTTTGGAGGGATGTAATTCAACCCATAATAGAGGTGGTTTGCAGCCTGTGGCAGGAGGAACATCTCCCGGTAGAAACCACATGGTCCCAAAGCAGATGCCCCGGTCCCCCAAGCCCTCTTCTGCTACCGGCTGCTGAGTGACCTGGGGAACGATGGCTGGAGCCTAGAGGGTAAGACCGTGGACTTGGCCGGAGTGTGGTGTGGCTGTGAACCCGTTCTTAACATCTCTGAGCCTCGGGCACTTGTTGGTAAAGGGAGTGTGTGAAGAGCAGCCGTCTCACACGCTGCTGTGAGCAGAAATTGCGATCGTGCCCAGACGGCTGAGAAGTGTGCCTGTCCCAGGGCTCTCAGTCCTCAGAGCAGTTCCTGTCACCATGATTGCAACAGGGATAACACGCTGTCTGCCTCACTAGGTTGTGTGTGAGGATAAAATGGCACAGTGAAGTGAAGTGCCTGGCACTTGGTGAGTATAAATAGTCAACAAACAAGCATTAGTATTAAGGTGACTCAGCCACCCTTTTGTGGTTGGACGTTTAAATTGCTTGCTTATTTTGTTTGTTTTTACCATCAGAATCCAGAGGTGATTCTGGGCATAAAACTTTTTTTCTTGTTTCCCCAACTGTTTCCTTAGCAAGTCTTCCTGGAACTACTGGGTCAAAAGGATTATTTGGACTTTTTTTTATGGCTTTCGATGCAGTGCTCCCTGGAAGGGCTCAGTAAACCTTCCACTGTGCCAGCTAGTTTGTTTGGTGTATGGCAGAGGAAGCTTGACATCCCAAGTGCTCCGAAATGTTTCCAGAGTTAGTGGTGTATTCGTCTTCAGTTCCTCTGCCTGTTTTTGTTGAACGCATATTGGATCTCAGATGAGCTTGTTATGGGAAACAGATCCATAAACATGTAATTACACCCCCAAATAAGTGCCAAAACGGAGGTCTGGACTGTTAAAGCCCAGAGGGGTCTGCGAAGAGCTACCCCTGCATGGGGTTGGGGGAGGCGGGGCCTGACTCCTCAGGGGGACTGCATCAAACAGGATCTCCAAAGGTAGGCGAGCAGTTTACTGGGTCGAGGGCAGAGCCTGTGTGGAGAGCTGTGGGTGGCTCCTTGAGGCTGGGCTGGGGGAGCAGGGTTGGGGGGGGCTGCTGGGAGGGCGGGCGGGGGGCGGGGCG